CTCCTTGTCTAATTTATTCAATTATTTATTTAGTTCCATCTTTGTTCCAGAGAGGATATGATAGTTTGACATTCACCCAATATATAATCCTAATGGTCTCCAGAAGTTCTGCCAGACTATACACAAAAAATGAACACACAAAACAGCACAAGCATGCTATAAAATGTGCAAAAAAGAAAAGTAGGGTAAGTCCATGTCATTCCAGTTGAGAAAGCTCTGGTTAGTGATACTTAGAATGCTTCATAAGTTTTCATCATAGAATTTGCAAAAACTTCCCTAAAATTCACCATTTCTTTGTTGTATTTCCAGCCAAGAGAGAGCTCCCCACATAACTACAGACTTCCTAAACTCCAAAATGAGGCGTCAGCTTCTAACTGATCCAAAGGCAAAATCCAGCTTCTGGATTGCCTTGTTTTTCTTGGATATTAACCACTGCAGCAATAGACAAGTGATTGAGGTTGGGATATCTAAAAGGTCATAGCTGAAGGAATGTAGGGATACAAAACAACAGAGCACGTTAAAGCTAATTTCAAAAAATTGCAATTCAATCACACATTTCCTAAAAGTGACAGTCGAGTTTTTAATTGTCACAAATAAAACTAGGATGGATGTAAGTTCCTAAATTAGTGGTTTACTCTCCTTTGGTCCAAACAGTTGTCTTAGATAGTTGAGAGAGGATTCATAGTTCTATTGCTTAGAAGGGATTAATTTAATGCTCAAAAAGTAACTAAATATAAACGTATAACTTCTGACTCCAACATAAACAAAAGAAATGTGTATCATTAAAAAAAAAATGAAGTGGTCTAGTGCCTCTTGACTAAAATAACAACGTCCTATCCTTGGGCACCATCAGAATTTTAAAGCACCTTAGCTCTGAAAGGATGATGATGCCCATCCCCACCATGTAACAAAGAATAAAAACAAAATATTAAATCACAAGTAGTATAAGGAGGTGCAATAAAGACTATTTCATTGCTTTTTAAAATAACAAAAACACTGCAAAAATGTTTTTAAAAATAACAAATACCAAATACTGCTCCTCCCAATAATGTGTTGCTTTTGTTTGCTTATGCTCAGTTTGCTAAGTACTAATCCCAATCAAGAAGCACCAGCTGAAAATTAAAGGCCTATATGGAGACATCCGTACTAGTTTGAAAAGCTTTTAAGGTCACCCTGCAGAAGTTCTTCAGAATCAGCAAAGATGTGACCTCCATGTTGGACAGTCATGTCTGATGCTGGAGAAAAGCCAAGCCAGAGGGGGGGTGTTCGATTTGTGGGCGGACACATGCATCTGTACTTATCAAATGACTGAATGGGTTTCCACCTTCAGGTCAACAGCAGGGAACAGATTTCACAGAGCTTCTACCTCCAAAAGGGCTGGACTTTTTGCCATCTCTTCCCAAGAATTGGGAAGTAGATGGTAGCCCTGTCCATGGGTTGCACATCTCCCAGTGGAAAAGTACTGGTGATAAGAAAACTACTGGTGTTAACCCTCAAAGTGATCTTTTCCCAAAGTTTAGCTTCTCTTTGTTATAACAATACAAGGAGCAAACTGATTTGATTGTTTCATTGTTTATGGTAGTAGACTGAATTTTCCCATGAATGCATTGTGCCTTTTTGAGATACTGAATCTGAAACTTCAGAGATTTCACATTTCAGCCAAAGCCAGAACACGGAGATGAAAAAAGCCTCCAAAAGATAAATTATGCTCTAAAATCCCAAACGTGCTTATATTCAAGAAAAGAGCTTTTTTTCTACTTCTTCTTCTTTTTTTTTTTTTCCTTGAGAGAGAGAGTGAGAAAGAGAGCACACACACAAGCAGGGGAGGAGCAGAGGGAGAGGATCCTAACTAAGCAGGCTCCACACTCAGCCCAGAGCCTGACGAGGGACTTGATCTCATGACCCTGAGATCACGACCTGAGCCTAAACCAAGACTCACACGCTTAACCGGCTGACCACCCAGGTACCCCATGAAAAGAGCTTTTAATAATATGTTTAATTTATCCCAATTGACTGCAAAACAAAAACCTTAATAAGTTCTGATTTTTCACATTTCAAATTAGAAGCCATTCTACATTCCTAGCGGCTTGATTTATTTCAAGGTACTGCAGAACAAACTCCAACTTCCATCAAATAGGATTCCTTAACAATCTTTATGATTAATTCCATAATACAATGATATGCAACATATGTTAAAATGTTGGCATGATTCTGCATCATCAAAGAAAACTCTAATTTTATTCCATTTAATTTTGATATTATATATGTTATATTCTAACTGAAAAACTGATAATTGATGTACCATTTGTGTATATACAATATTCAACTAATCATAATATGATCTACAACATCCCAGTTTTAAGATATCAGTCTCAAAAAGGTTTGATTTCCAAGGAAAATTTAAAAAGGGAAAAAATCAGAAGTGTTCTACCTTGATTATTTCTGTTTGTCATATTACATGCAGCAGATGAATTTAGAGATGCTACACTGAATGTAGCAAAAGAAAAATTTAACCAAGCTTCTTGACAAATATTGAAAAATCAAATTCTGGCATTATATAACTATTCAACAATTATTCATTCAGCTTAAGTAGACAACATTTTTAAGTGAGTGTAATTCTTTCTGTACATGTTCAGAAATGCATTTCAAACAATAACAGCTTTATTAATTTCAAATGCAAAGACCATATCCTTTGTTTAGTCTGACTGACTTACATTACTTATCAACTCTTTTTCTATTAACTACCCTCCCCCACCCCATTCTTTCTAAAACGAGTAAGGAAGCTTTTAAAAAATGTTTGGACACGATTCACTTTGGGTTATCATGCTACACAGAGAAAATATCACTCAAATAAAAAGATTTCTTTACTTTAGTAAAGTTAAAGGCATATTGAAATTTTCTCAACTTCAGAAAATTTCCTTTTTTCTTTTTTTTTTAAAGATTTTATTTAGGGGCACCTGGGTGTCTCAGTCGTTAAGCATCTGCCTTCGGCTCAGGTCATGATCCCAGGGTCCTGGGATCGAGCCCCGCATAGGGTTCCCTGCTCCGCGGGAAGCCTGCTTCTCCCTCTCCCACTCCCCCTGCCTGTGTTCCTCTCTCGCTGTCCCCCTCTCTCTCTGTCAAATAAATATTTATTTGACAGAGATAAATATTTATTTATCTAATAAATAAATATTTATTTATTTGACAGAGAGAGAGTACAAGCAGGGGAAGTAGCAGGGAGAAGGAGAAGCAGACTCCCGCTGAGCAGAGAGCCCTACGTGGGGCTTGATCCCAGGACCCAGGGATCATGACAGGAGCCAAAGGCAGACCCTTAACTGACTGAGCCACCCAGGTGCCCTTCAACTTGAGAAAACTTCCGACAAAATTTATTACATTCGAAATAGTCTATCTTTTTGATTCTAATCTCCCACCAACACAAAAAATAAAGTAATAGATTTAACTGGAAATTACATTTAAAATTGTTCTGTTTTTTGCATGTTTTGTTATCAGTCTGTATTAATTTTGAATGATTTTGATAAAAGTCGGGACAAATCAAGTTAGCATACATTTTTCAATCTATATTTAATTAAAACTTTTAATCTTTGAACTATCCGCTACTTTTGCCAAACAGTAAGGTTTTATACAATACAGAGTAAGTTAATATATAGCTGGACAAGTATAATTTTTCTAAGATAAAAATAAGGAACAAAATATAGGCAAGACTCAGAAAGAAAAAGTATATTGACCTTGCATTTCTACTTGCATATTTACTTACTGTATCTTTCTAACATCATTTTAAAACAAGACTGGTCTGACATACTTTCTTACAGTTTGGAGTTCTTCAGATAGTTCAGCCTCACAGTAGCAAAACCCTATGACAAGGCAGGTCAAATAATTAAGGACCTAAAACTAAGTCTACCTGAGAAAACTTTTTTTTTTTAAAGACTTTTATTTATTTATTCTCGAGAGAGAGAGAGAGGCAGAGGGAGAAGCAGGCTCCCAAGGAGCAGGGAGCCCGATGCGGGACTCGATCCCAGGACTCCGGGATCATGACCTGAGGTGAAGGCAGACGCTTAACCATCTGAGCCACCCAGGCGCCCTACCTGAGAAAACTTTTATTATCACCTTTTAAAAACATTTTGTTTTATTTTCAATGAAAACAACCAAATCAGATTATTTTGGGAGGTAGAGGGTATGTGTGGTAAGTTTGGATTTTTGTGTTCATTTTGTTTTGTTTTTGTTGGTTCATTCTTAGAGCACACTTTTACCCAAGTTACAGATACAAACAAAATTCTTCTGATAACGAAATATTAGAAATTCTTCTTTGCACAAGTTTTATGTCATGAGGAAAAACCACAAACTACTCCTAAATCAATGTCAAATTCTATATATTCAGGTTGAGAAGCAACAAAACTATGAAGACAGCCAAGTTATAAAAGCCCATTTTCAGATTTGGAACAACTTCTGAACATAAAGAAGGTATTCGGCATACATTATACTGAAGGAAAAGTCCTACTTTCATTATTTCCTGATTCTTGGAATCCAATAAAAACTTTATGGAATAAAAACTCATTTTCAAAGAATCCTTCACTGAACACATAACCAACCACCACCACAACCCTTCTTTTAAAGTAATGAGAGTTGATAAACTCTAATAGGAGTATGGAAATTTTTATTTTTTCTTGTGCATTTTAAAAGAATGATGAAGTGGTTTTTTGGCTTTTTGAGCACCAATGACTTTTAGCACCTGAACAATGCACAACTGAAATACATGCACATTCACTTTTCAAACAACACCAACAAAAATTAAAATGGCGGTGGTTAGGTAAATATGGATGACGCCCATATAGAAGTATGTGCCACTGTGAAGGGCCTACACAGAATCACATCTTGTCCTGATCATACCTGCCTGCCAGAACAAAATAGGCAGCTGACCAATCATGGGGTGTTTATCTATACAGTGGTACCTTTGTTCTCCAACAATGTTAGATTGCAAATGTCTTGGAGCATATATTTACCTGGAGGATTCTTGGCAGGATCATTGTGGCTTGGACTTCCTGATTGTCCAGAATCTATAAAGAAATCACAGAAAATGTTTTCTTTTTAATTTGTTTTGAACAAATTTCACAATCCTCAGAAGGACTTTAAAAAAAAAGTTAAGATGCAACAATGAAGCTGAGTGTGTTTAAATAAAGTATACTTTCCCAAGCCTTTCAGCAGCAACACTTTATTTATCAAGCTAGGTGAAAGTCCATACATATTTCTATGTCAAAAGAAAAAAAAAAAGTCTATCATAGTCTCAGAATGGAGCAAGGCCTTTTTTAAAAACAAAAGGTCTGGCTCCAAAGCCACTAAAGGTGGTTTGGAGGTTGGGCCTGTCAGAAGCAATATGAAATAAAGCAGATACATCCCCTAAAAATGCAATCTGAGTGTAATTAAACATGCTTTTAAGAACCTGAAAATGTTTTTATTCGGTGAGTGAAATACACAGAAACGAGAGTCCATTTTTCCAGGATTTCATGTGCATACGCATATATCCACTCCCATAATCTCCCAACCTACTGGATCCAGGCCCAGATTTGTCTGCATCCCATAATAGCAATCGATTTGCAAACACCAAGAAAAGCATAAATTACTAGGTAGAAACTAACATAGCTTTGTGGAGAGCAAATTGTTGGATCAATTTAATTTCCATCTGTGATAGACAGACTGCAGATAAGGAGAAAAAGATCAATGTAGTATATCTATCTGAATTTCCTACCCCAAGTTATTTTTCATTGATGCTTTCTGTGGAAAGCAATGGAGAGGCTATACTACAGTTAGGCAACACGCCTTTCCCAGCTAATCTAACACTGTTGTATTTTGCTCATTCCTCTTTCCTCCACGTCCCCTCTGCAGTTATCTGTGTCATTTGCCCCATATTATTATACACTTACTTGCAGGTTGCTTTGTAATCTTCTTTTATTGGTTCTAGTATTTAAATTTTGTCTCCCCAGCTAAATTGCATGCTCCCAGGCAGAGGCAGAGATTCTGTCTACTTCTTTTGTGTCTTCCTCAGTGTGCAGTGTGCTGATCATGGCTGTGAATGCACTAGGCTTTCAGTAAATGCCAGAGGAATGGAAGGCTCAGATTCAGCAGCCTCCTTTGCCTGCCTAGGAAAGGCAATTTTGAACTTGATAGTGAATTTTAACAAAATTTGATAGGTGGCCACAGATCAGTCTCTTCCCTGAAATCTTGCCATGGTACCTAAGCCAAGACAGGAATCCAGTCTCATTGAAGCAGAAAAATCTAATGCTGGTTTTTTCAGCAGGGTTATTAAGCTCTTCCATGTAAGTGATTAGCATACCGCAATTGCTGCTTCTACTGTTAAATCCAAGGGGATCCTGTTGGTCTCTTTCTATATAGAACTTGGTTATTTATTTTTGCAATTTGCCTCATGCCTGCTAACCAGATTTAATGCTGAGATCAGAATCCTACCTCTTCATCCTATTTCCTTTGTCTTTTTTTTCCTCCAGAATAGCTTTCATGAAATCTTCGCAAATATATTTAGTGATTCCCACATTATCCTTCAACTGATTTCTGATTTTCCAAAATGGAAGTAAAGAAACTGTTAGGGGCTACTCTTGCAGCCTGAGTTCCAGCTAGCATCTCCTGTAGACAGTCACAGAGTTGAATATTCTCTAAAATGCTTTTCTCTCATCTCTCATGAATTTGCTTGCTTTTTCTGGAATTGAGGCAAGAGTCCGTGACTTACAACTTAGAAGGTCAATCATTCTCTTTCTACATTCCTATAAAAGATGGTACAACATTGGCCATTTTCCAGGCATGGAGTATGATAGTTACATAAAAATGATAAATGACATTATTTTGCTACAGCCTCAGCTATTTCTGCCTCGAGTTCCTCTGACAAATGTCCTTCAATACTGATACTACATTCCAGTTTAACTTCTCAAGTGACTCTAACATTTTGAGGAGTTCCTACTTATTATTATTATTAACATACCCACTGGACAGAGAGCTTCTTCATATTCTCTTTTTCCTTCTAAAGTTACTTCACATTTATGGAGGTCTAGACATGCATCCCTCAAGGTGGCTAATGCCACCTTCCTGATGACACAACATGAGGCAGGTTGAGGTTGTCCTCAGGGGGCAGGGGTTGTAGACTCTCCCTGAGTCTTGCATGTTTACTTAAATCAATTTCAAAAGGGCACCACAAAACTCCTTCCCAACATCTGGCTGCTAAAACTTGGGTCAATTAAAGAATGAATGTCTCTTCTATTCCGAAGAAAGTATTCAGCTAGAACAATGGCACCCCCTGTTACCACAACATCCCACTGGGAAACCCTATTCTTTTCTGCTGCAAATTACCCCTTCCCCCATTTCCAACAACTGCACACCAACTTCTTCATTTGAAAACAATATAATTACAAAAAAAAAAAAAAACCCACAAGCATTTGAGGGAAAACTTAAGTAGACACTACATTTAAGTCACACACTTGCTTTTAATAAGAATTCCACTTTCTAAAATGATCTGGCATTTACTGGTACACAATGGTAGTTTTTCCCTCATATTCCAAAGTCTGTGCCTTTTCATGAAGTAAAAGAGCATATACTAGATCCCAAAACATAGAAGAGGCCCCCTCAGGGAGGGAGCAAGTTAGCATTTACTTTTCAGACTGTAAATCTAATACTACAATCTACTCTTAACTCTTATGGCACCTTATACTGGTCACTTAATTCCAACTGCTAGAAAAGGAAGTAACCAGGGAGTCATAGTTGGCAGAGAAATCAAAATGAACTGTTACTGTGGTTAGCTTCAGAGAAGGAATTATTCAGACCACATCTAAAACCCTTCCAATTCACCACCCAGGTCACATTACTCTAAACCCAAAGGTTTTCTTCAACCACTTCCATCATTTGCTGAAGTCCTGTGTGTCTGTGTGTACTTAATATGTTATCATGAATTCGAGCTCTGTTCCTCACTAGTAGAGTGATTTTGTGCACAATTACTTAATTCTTAGAGCCTTGTGGTCTTGATTTTTACAACTGTAATACTGTCTACCTCGTAGAATTGTTGCAAAACTTTTACTATGTAAACCATCATACACTGGTCAGACGCAATACAATGAGTAAATGAAAGATATCAAACACAGAGGTCACATTCAAAGAATGATTAATATTTTTAATGGACTAACTCTCAGGAAGAAAGGGAGAAAGGGGATATGACTAAATTCTGCCCATCCCAGGGCAAGCATCTAAAATGATCTGTGGACGGGGCAGGGCACCTGGGTGGCTCAGTCAGTTGAGCATCTGCCTTTGGCTCAGGTCGTGATCCCAGGGTCCCGGGATCAAGTCCCACGTCGCACTTCCTGCTCAGCGGGGAGCCTGCTTCTCCCTCTTCCTCTGCAGCTCCCCCCTGTTTATGCTCCCTCTCTCTGTGTCAAATAAATAAATAAAATCTTTGAAAAAATCTTTAAAAAAAAAAAAAGATTTGTGGTAAATCACCTGAACATGAAGGAGTGTGTGCCCACTGAGAATTCCTACGTAAAAGCTGTCTACCCCTCTCCCCTCAAGGGAAAAAAACGCTGTCATTACAAGGCTCTCAGAAGCTCTCGTGCTCAAAAGGCAGTAGGTACCAGCCATTTGATGGAAGAGGACCTTCCAGAAGACTGAAGTCTACGAAGAACAAGGGTGGTAAGAATGGGGTTGTGAGTTGCCCAGAACACTGGGTCTTGAGTCTAGAACAATCTGGATGCAGTGGAGAGAAAGTGAGGGGAGCAGAACTTGAAGGCAGCATGCCTAAACCAGTCCTCCATCATTCCCTCCACATTTTATTTTCTCTTCCTTGATCCCAGTCTACATCTTCTACATTTCTGACTTCACTGGACGTAAAGTAGAACTGAAACAGTTTGTATTACATACTTATAAAAATCTCATATTACCCCCATTCCTTATGTTTTAATGGTGTGGAATTAAACATATATGTCTTCTTCTTGGAAGAAAATGGTTAATGAAGCCATTTCTAAGTTACTACTTTTTAAACTCAATGTATTCCTCCTTCCCCAGGAATAAGAAAAGGTTCCCCACATGACCCTTGCCAACCTTTCCTCAATCCTTTCGTGTACTCCCTCTTAAAAAGCAGCCAGCCTTTTATGACCCTTCTAATATCTAAACTTTACCTAAAGAATGGCAAGTTTCCCTCCTGACCTAGTTTTACGAAAGATCCTGGGATATTTAAGTGACCTAAATGGCTTGTCCGAAGTTACATGGCAACTATTAAAACATATGTTCTCTACATGGGCCACCCATTCAGACACACTGCCTCTTGAGAGGTTATGATGCAATCTTCAAATCACGTACAGCCAAGTGATCTTTCAGTAGATTAAATGTTTCTGGGAACTTGACCTTCCCCTAACTTCCCTCCTCCTTCCTACCATTTACCAATACATTCAAAACATTTTTCATAAATTGCAAAAGCCCATAGCTATTCTTTCACTCTAAGTTGGAAACAATTATTATTAAAATCTATATAGTAATTGACACTTTAAAAAGAGGACAACTCTAAATCAAATTTAGTCTGGATTCTAATGTTTTACTAATGATCTAGTGGAAGTTCAATAAAATATTTGTTAAATAGGTAAGATAAATAATAACTGCTTAAATGTTTGTTATTGAGTACTAACTTTCTGAGGTAGGTGAACTCAATTGTCTGATAGGGGCAGACCATCAAAACTGAAAGTCTTTTGAAGGTCACTACGGTAAGCATCAATTAGATGTGAATCAGTAAGCTTTATGGAACACCTCCTATATTCCAGTTGCTGATGTTTGGGACATAATAGGTTCTCAATTATAAATTTCCAATTAATTTATAATAATGACCTTTAAAATACTGTTTTAAGAAGAAGAATATACATTCTATGCCTTCTAGAGCTCAGAGGCTGCCCAGAGAGAAATAAATGTACAAATAAACTATAATACACTGTGATAGGTATTATTAATGAGTATGTATCAAGATCAGCAAGCAGTTGGTTCTTCCTAGGAATGATGAGCAAGGCCGTGTTATAGAAGGTAT